ACCACATTCTCCTCAATCCAGTAAAGAAATTGAAAATTGAGCAACCTATCTAAATCTCAGATGACATATACAGGTGTTGAAAACTGCTGAGACCCAAAATGGGCCCCACCTGCCTTCATTTTTGGAGACAGATAACCAAAATACACAAAGACATTTTTCCTTGTGTTCTCTCAGTTACACCCAATTCCACATTTTCAGAGAAGGCTCTGAATGTGGCCTCTGAATCCAGATAAGTGGGGAGGGCTGGAATTAACTAGTGCATGTATAAGCCTGAGAAACAGTTTTCATTATCCATTTGTCTGTCATTGTAAAACAGGATGCTGTGAAGAACTGGTGGAGGCATCCACCACAAAGGAATGAAAAATGTGAATGGGAGGCTGTATCTGACAGGAAAATTGGTGTGCTACTCTAGAGAGTCTCATCAAAATTGATGTTTACTGATGAATGTGGTTGCGAAGACACATTAAGAAGGCATACAAGGTTGTCACCGTTTGTTATTTCCATGGTGATCCGTAAAAACAGCATTTCTGTTGTTCCTAAAAGCTGCTCTGTCTTTCTGTTTGAGGTGTACGGACTCTTCAGAAGCAAAGTATAACCTAGGAATCTTAATATGTGGAGGGAGACATTTGTCTTTTCACTAAGACCAATACTCTTAGAAAGCAAATCTTTCACTGTCGCCTGCAGATCTTGCCAGTGTTACATCCAAGAGAATCTGATTACTAAGGATACAGCCATACATACGGAAGTAGTATTAGCTGTGTCTAACACCATACGCCCAGCAGACATCCCCAACAATTTCCCTTCACTGACAACAGGCTGGCTAGACTCTAGGCAATTTTTCAGCAAACTCTCAACTGTGAAATCTTGTTTTGTCCTCAGTGTTTGTTAATGAGATGAAGAACTGTAAACTCATGAGGAATAAATATTCTTTCCAGAGTAACCCAATCATTTCCTATCACTGTTACTGATTTTTTTTTGTTGGCTACTATGACAAGAGAAATAAGAGGGTAAAGATATAAATTAACAGAACTAAGCAGCATTACCTGAAGGCATTTTAAACTAATCAAGTTCTCTGCATCACAAGCAGTCAGTCTGCAAGACTCATTGGGTCTGCTGGACTTTCAAGTGGAAGGGAAGAAAAAAAAAAAAGACAGTAAAAGCAAAGGCAGACTCAGGGTTTGGACAAACAAACTGTGTTAAAGAAGGGCAGGAACTTACTAGATGTCAGCACCATTCCACAGTAACTGTCCATCTGCACATTCTTACCCCACAGTATATGAAAGCTAAACCAAGGCAACTTGTCTTTCATAGTCTCTCTAATTGAACATTAAACTGCCCCAATTCAGTTTTCATTTTCTGTCTGGTAAAAGCACGCAGATGGACAATTACTCCTAATAAGGGACTTAGCACACATCAGCTGCTGCCTTTCAATTTGCTTTAATTGATTTGTTTGTCCATACAATCAGAGATTTAGAAAAAAAAAGGCAGAGTGAGGCCTGGAACGGAAAAGTACAATAATTAAATTTATGGCTGAAATTTATTAAAACATAAAATTGATTAAGTATGTACAGACATACTTAATGTCTGTACATTAAGTTATGTAAATATAATGTACAGTGATGTAAAACAGTACTTATTACTTGAAACTGCATTAGTGACTGGTTAGAGAATTTTCCAAATTCAGCTAGTAGGCTGAGCCCTCAGTCTGGGCAATGGAAGTTTTAGAACCCTGCACTTGATATGTCTTTCCTGACTGCGTGACCCCAAATTTTCTTTGGGTAAAGATTTTTGTAGTCTACAACCTTGTTCGGTTAAATAACTTTGTATTTGACTTCACCGAGACAGCACATGAGACAAACCTTTGTGAAAAGACTGTCAAACTGGACAGTTTCTAGTTCAATACTAACCACTTTAGCAGCAGGGGGTCAGACTTGATGATTTGTTCAGGTCCCTTCCCACCCTAGAAACTATGAAATTTTTTCACATGTGCATATATATAAAAAGCCTTTAGGCTCATCATCATTTGCATATTACAGGGTGAGTACCTTGACAATTATCTGTGGTTTTTTTAATGCACCATGGTGGAAGATGAGAAATTTAGAGGAAAAGAGACAAGTGATCAAGTTTATGACAAAACCACAACAGACTTGATTAAGCAAAAATATCATAACACAATGACAAACAGACCAAAATCATTTTAAGTAATGAACTGTTTGTATAAAATGGTGTAAATCTGGGACTGCACTTATTTTTTTTTGTCTTGTTTGAATATAGAGTTGTCACTTAATTGATCAGCAGGCATCCAGGTTTTCCGTTTCCTGTGGAAAAATGGAGCAAAAAGCGGATTTCCCCCTTTAACAGAGGAAAATGCGTATTTGCCATATTACCGGAGAAACCCACAGATTTTGCACTTTTGCAAACAACTCTCTGCAAGCTGACAGTTCCAGCATGCAGAGGGCTGTGGGGAGCAGGAGGAGGGTGGGTCAGGCAGGGGGCACCATGTGCATGTATATGCACATCGCTGTCAGGCAGCCTGGAGAGCAGCTCTCACAGGTAAACTGGGGGGGAGGGGTATGGATTAAAGCCCCCATAGGGAGGGAAGGAGTTAGGCAGGGCTGGGGTTAGGGCCACTGCCCAGTAGGGATGGGCTTGGGGCAGGGGCTGTAATGCATGGCCGCACCACCCTGGCTGGGAGCAGGAGAGGGCCACAGGAGGCTTGTCCGGAGGGCTGGGGGTGAGGTCAATTCCCCACCACTGTGCACACTCATGGGGGGCAGGGGGGGGAAGAGGACCCATGCCCCCAGATCTGTGCACAAGGTGAGGGCAGGTGCAGGCTGCCCACTACGAGTTAGGGCTTCTACCCTGCTGCCCTTCCCGGAGCCACCGCAGCCCAGCAGGTGTGACCTGGTGCTGCATGGCACAACGGGGCTGCATGAGGAAGTTGCTTGCCGCTGCAAGCTCCACACTGCCCTGGTGAGGCATCCCCTGTCCACACGGTAGCAGCGGGGGTTGCAACACACAGTTGTGTCCCTCACTGCTGCTTTACGCACATAGGATGCATTCACCAGGGCAGCATGGAGATCGCAGCAGCAAGCAGCTTTCAAGCACAGCCCTACTCTGCTCTGCCCTACAGTGCTGAGTTGCACCCTTGGGACTGCAGAGGCCCCAGGGAGGGCAGCAGGGTGGGAGCCCAAGCCTGCAGCGGGCAGCCCACCCCCACCCCCACCCCACACACAGATCTGGAGGCACATTTTTGCTTTTTAAATAGTCAATTCAATCAGTTCATGTTACATTGACAGAATTTTCCAAGATTTCCATTTGTAGCTTAATTTTTTCAGGCTGGCAGAAAGAATGGAAAAGAGGTCTAACCCCAATAAGGAAGTGGTACAAAAGAACAAGAACACCCTAACTTAAATCTCCAGCATAAGGTACATGGGCTCATACAGAGCATTTACGAGTTCTCAGAATTTGGAACTAATCTGAGGCTGCTGTAAATTACAAGACTAGAGTATGCTAAAGCACTTCTCAACTCTTTACCCACAAGATCAGGAAGGTATAAAAATTGTGGAAAGGCAACTTGGCATTGACCTCAGATGTTTGCTGCGCTGGTGTACCACTTTATGTTTTCAGAAAGCAAACAACACAGAATATAACAAGACCATCTATTTAAAGCATTGCAGTGCTTCATCGAATAAAAAGTGCTACAATAATCCAGGACTAGTCTAATTTTGAAATATAACACTGGAGGAGGATTTCTCAGCCCTTGCTGAAAACTTTCATGTGGTCATTTTGTTTACTTATAACCTGCTGGGAACTGATTTACTCTTCGTGATACATCCTCACTTGGATGTCTTTGAAAAGGGCAGATTTACAAAGAATTGGATATCTTTAAAATACAGATAATTTTAATTCTGTATAGCAGAGACAAGGAAAGGCAAGACACTTATTAAACTTACCATTTTGATGCCTATTTCAACAGTCTCTTTCTCCATAAAGGATCAAATGAACAGCATAAGCTACCCTGATCTCAGTCAATTATTTTTTTAAACCGATAACATCAGCTTCGATGCTTTATACATTCCCCTGTCCCGCTACACCTTCATTCCCATCTGTACTACTCTTCCTGGGTCACATCCCAAACTGCCAAGCAACCACCCTTTCCTTCCTATCACTCAAAAATATTCAATTCTTCCCCCGTATCCAAGAGAAACAAATATATTTAAATATGTACACATTTTTCTGTGCTGATGCCCCTTCTGAGTATTCCAATAAGTCTTTTCTTCTCTCTCTGATTTTAAGTATTTCATGACACACAGTGTTTATATTTTGCAATTGATATAATGCTAAACATTGTCAGCACTCACAAAACAGCAAGCGTTAGTAATAGACTCTAATGCCTAAGAGATGTCAGAGCACCATGTTTTTCATGCAGTAAGAAAAAAGAATCAGCAATCATCACAAACTCCCACACACAAAAAATTCTTCCTGATCACTAGCTTATTATCAGTGAATATAAGAATTTGCTGAGCTGAAAGTGCTTGTACCGAACTGCCAACCTGTTTCTAAATGTGACAAATTTGGTTATATCTGTCACTGAGAAAACATGCCAGTTAAGATCACATCACCTTATTTCTTGCACATAATCTGTAGTTTTTAAGATGTGCTACCTTAGTATAAGAAAGCCAGAAGAACTTTATTCCTGGTTGTTCATTATGTAAATTTAAATAGTCAGTGGTCTCCTGATTTAGCAGCACCTCTGACATTGTTTCAGGACTACACAGACACACCTTCAGAGAAGTCTAGTTGTCATTCCCCAACCTCTTGTAATTACAGCTCAAAGTCTTTTCAGTATTTCCCAAATAGTCAAAGTCTAAGATTCCTAACTCAATTTACAAAGTTATTTGTAACAATTAAAAATAAAAAACCTTTCAAATCCCAAACAGAAGCTAGATGGTGATGCACACTCTGTAAGAAAGCAGCAGCTTCCATGAACTACTCACCTTTTAAAAGAAGATGCAACAAGAGAACATTCTTGTTCACCAAGTAAGATCTGTTCTGCAACAGGCAGGCACATTCAGATCCTCTTATCTGTTAATTCAAACAAACAAACAACCCTATCAGTATAGAAATTGTATTTAAACCCTTCTGCTCCAAATGGAATATCAAACTAAAGGTGTACGTTGAAAAGTGCAACATCTACCAATTTAAGCAGCCCTTCAGAGGTGCATACAAAGTGATCCAATTCTGAAATTCAGCCCTCAAACTTTGTAAAAAAGCCAGCCAAGCTTTTTTAACTTTAAGGAATGAAGTCAAGTCTCTTGTCAACATTCTGTGTTAAGCAAAGATCTTTAGCTTTCACTATCAACAGATTGAAGCCATACACACATACATCCCAGAACTATGTAACTGGTATACTTGTAAAAGAGTAAGTACTTTGTACTTAACTTACAGCCATCAGATATCAAAAACAATTTTCTGCCCATTTTAGGCACAGACTCAGCCTATAATCTTTTGGTAGTAGTGTCTCTTGGGGTTGCACTATACATCTTTTGTGTCACTTGAATGGTTTGGGAGGCTGCTTCATCCTTTGTATCTATAAAGCTATCTATAAAGCTCAAGGTGCTGGGGGAGGGAAAAAAGGAGTGCCATCTACTAAAAAGACTAGGACAATTCTGCCAGACAGATTGAAACGAAAGAAGCTGTCACATTAAAAGTAATGACTTGTAAACATATAGACTAGGGGTGCACTGATAGAGATTTCAGGGGTCCATACCAATAGCCAATTTTTAAGGAGGTATATCGGCTGATACTGATCCGATTTCCGATACACAACCCAGCAGCTTGTAGAGCAGTGTTCAGCTGGTTGTCTGCTGTGGTGGAAAAAGCAGGGGAAGGGAAGGGGCGTGGGAGGGGTAGAATGAGGCCCCTGCAGTAAGGAAGGAAGTGGGGCTGGGGCAGGTGCTGCCCAGCCAGGGCAGGGTGGGGCATGGGACAGCCACGGCTCATTCTGCATGGGGGGACAGGGATGCATGCGCCCCCAGAACTGTGCAGAGCAGGACAGGCAGGTTGTTGCTGCAGGCTAGGACCAGGGCTGCGCTGGGGTCTTCCTGACAGGGGGGTTGGACCAGGCTGCGTTCAGAACAGGCAGCACTGGGAGGGGACTGCAGCCACCCCCAAATCTGCCATAGCACC